GTCTCCCCGGCCGGACCGAGGGACCCGGGCGCGGGGCGGAGCCACAGCCGGCACCGCCCCGCCGACCCCTCGCGGACAGGCCCGTTGAGGCTTCCTAGACACCAGCCTATTGAAAACCGGCTTCCGTGATCCCATTGGGATTCGTGTTGTGAGTGTTTCGAAGACTGGAGTTGTAGATCCTTGGGGGGAAAGATGAATGAAGATCATTGCATGGTGGGGTTATTGGAGAGAGGCGCTCCACGAGGGGCTTCCCTGGACCTGCTCATTTCTGCACAGGGAAGGGCTTAGCTGCAGACAGAGAGGGTCACCGAGGAAGTTCTTTCGGCTTCTGGAAAGGTTGGGTAAATCCAGAAGCAAGATCCTTTGGGGATCACTTAATAACCCTACATCCTATGACGACGTTTCTAGAAAACACTGGTTTGCTTCCCTCCCACCGATTCCTTGGTTACAGTTTGCCTCGTGGAGGTAGTGGAGGAAAGGAACAGCAGAGAAAACACTAAAGCGTTGCATCAACCAGCCTACATCTAATAATTTTCCTACAAGGACTCAATTACAGCGTCTTACTTAGCTGCTCTTGTGTCCCGAGGGCAGTTCCTAGGGCCATTATTAGAGTCTGGGCAAGGGGGGTTGGAAGTGTGTTCCAAAGCAGAAGAAGGTATAAACAGGAGAAAACTGATGCAGTCGTGAGAACTGGGACTTTATACAGCTGGAGGTAGAAGAAGTGCTAAAATAACACACACCTAGACACAGCTCTAATCAAAACCGTTTTTGAAACATCTTGCTTCTAACTTTCACTTGAAACTCTACCCCAAATTCTACCAACACCAGCTTCTGCTGGCAGCTCAAAAAGAGTAATTCCGCAGAGGGCCTAACAGATAGTCCCCAAATCTGCCCTAGGTTCTCCCTGAACATGTTCAGATCCTGGCCTTCTGCACAAATGAACATTGTTTTGAGGTGATTTATCAAGTGCCCGGGGAGGGGGTGGGAGATTTAGACGTGGATATGTGGTAAATGCCACCTTAACAGTGAAGCAGAATTGCTAGGACTGTGGTTAAAATGTACAGTACTATTCTATACATTGTCTTGCTTACAATGCATTTGTTGGGAAAACAGAATAGTTTGGTCAGGGCCCTCGCCTCGGTCCAGTTGGGTGTGGTTCAGCACCCTTTGAAGGAAAATTGTGTGTGTGTGTGTGTGTGTGTGTGTGTGTGTACATGCGCCATGTATCTTCTTGCTCTTCTTGTGTTGGGTCACCATAAATGCCAGGTCTCTTTCTTTTTTTTTTTTTTTTAATTTTTATTTTGTCAATATACAATGTATATGATTATTA